TAATAGTGAAGAGATGAAAGGAATTTTTAAGGCAGAAAAAGTACTGGTACAAAATGATTACACATAATTCCTCTGGATTTTTTTATCCTTCTAGGGAGCTGTTTTCTGTTTCTCTTAGTAAGTCACATGCCCTCATGCTTTCGAGTACAAAAAAGATTATGAACTTCTTTTATTGGCTAGTAGGGAGAAGATTACTAAAATTGTTAAGGTGAAAAAGTAAAACATACTGAACTACTTGAACAGTGAGGCCTAGATTTTGTTTTTTAGAGGAGACATGCATATATGTCATGTGCTCAGAAGGGTGGAAGAGCATGCAGCAGACTTGAGCAGAGGTCATGGTCATAGGCGGGTCAGCGATTTTCACTTCTTCTCTGTACTTCTCTGTTGTATGGAACACAATGACCGTGACTGCTTTTATAATCAGTCAAACCTGACAAAACTATTATTTATGTAATGAAAGGAACACTGGGCCATTTGTCTTCACTTTGGCAGGCTCTGGCAAGGGAGAGCTTCCTTTTGTCCATGATGTCTGGATACAAACCAGAAAAGTCAAGCTGTACACAGTAATGGGAGAGCACCTAAGATTCTTAAACTGCTGATGCCACTCCAGCTGTGCCAATACTTGCTGCTCACCAGTCATTTACACTTTGCCGCTCGCTCTCCTTAGCTGTATGATACAATGGTTGTGTCACCACACACCAGATGGTCCCCAAACAGGAGATGGGGACTTCAACTTACCCTACCCACAGGGTAGGTTGTAGGTTTGCTACTTTCATCACAGAAAATAATTTTCAAACCACTTCAGTGAGAGACAAAATAGTTTATCAGGCAGAATTGCAAAAGTACATACTCAGAGAGAATAGAATGTAGGCCCTGGAGACAGAGGCACATTATGGTCTGAAGCTGGGTATATTTATGTGGTCTCTGGGTGTCTTCAAGGTGGATGATATTCTACTGTTGAGTTACCCACCGGGCAGGCTATGTCAGAATGCAAAGTGCTTGTGTGTGTGTGTGTGTGTGTGTGTGTGTGTGTGTGTGTGTGTGTGTTTTCTGCAGTGCTGAGACTGAACCAAGAGCCTTCACACTGAGCTACATCCCAGTCTGTTTTTATTTTGAGGGAGGCAGGCTCGTGTTAAACTGCCCAGGATGGGCTCAGACTTACAATTCTCCTGCCTCAGTCTGCCAGAGTGCTGGGACTACGGGCTCATTGCTGTGTGTCTGAAGTTGAGATCTGCTGCCTACTAACACTGCTGCATCCCCGAGCATGGAGGTCTGCAGGAAGAAGGGTGATTTTCAGCTGCACAGCACAGGGCCAGAGCCCAATTCACAGGCCTACTGTGCCTTAAGTCCCTTAAGATTTTTTTGGCAGGAGATGGGGGAAAGGGGTGTTCCTGAAAGGGAAAAAGGCTTGAGTAACTATTGTGCCCTGAAATTGCAGTTTTTCCTAAAAGTACAATCTTAAAATTATGATTTTCCTTGGCTCCTTTCTACCTATCTTTACTTTTTTCTAGCCTACCTCAGTTGGTTTCAATGACCGTTGTACTGGCTTCTGTTTGAAAAAAAAAAGTTCTAGCTCTGATGGCAACCTGTAGAGGACAGTGAAAGAGGAGGAACAGTAAGTGGCCCTCCAGCTCCATCCTGCCTGCACCCGAAAATCACTCTTGTCACGGGAGTGGCACAAATCCACTCACAGGCTTCCTGCCAGGAAAAATGAAAAGGCATTTGAAGTTCAAACACAAGACCAGCGTGGGCTCCCATTAGCAGATGCTTTTCCTGAACCCTCGATCTAGAATCTTCTCACCAAGCACCCTTTGTTCTGGGCAGAATTTCACAGCTTCTTTGATTGAAAAACATCCAGTCACTTAACAGCTTTGGAGCAGCTCAGTGGCAGTGGCCGGGGCTGAGCAATTAGGCATTCTCAATGCTTCCTGCTGTCAAGTGGTCATTAGTTTAATGGAGAACTATTAGAAACACATAAAAATCTCAACCAACGAAAAATAAACAAAGCTGCCAAAGCTGGCATCTTAAGTGTAACAGGGCCTGTGCAGAAGGTAACGAATATCCCTCTACATACACATTTAGAATACAGACACAGGCCAGGGATTTAGCTCAGTGGTTCTGCCATCTGCCTCGCAAGCACAAGGACCGGAGTTCGATCCCTGGTACCAAAAAAAAAAAAGAAAAAGAAAAAAAAGAAAACGTAGAATACAGATGCGTGCTGCTTGCCGGGGAGCCCAGGCCTTTAACTGACTTTAATTCTGAAGCGCTCATTGTGTATCGTGACCACATGCAATATTAATTCTAGAAAGTGGTTTTAGATCCTGACTAGAAAAAAAAAGATGTACAATTTACAATAATCAGGGGGAAGGCATTTTTTGGACTCTGGTGTTCTCTGCATTCTCTCAATCTTGGCAATTCTCACTTGACACTGCCAGGTCAAAGCCACACTGTCAATTCCTTCCTTAGGTGTGCTCCGATGGCTAAAAAGTAGCTTTTTGCTGTAGAAGAGATGACTCAAAAGTGAATCAAATGGAGTATTCTTATTGAGAACTGTTTGCTTTTTCCTTTTCTTTTCTTGGTAGATGTCAGCTACAGCAACTCTGGCTCACAGAGGGGAAGGGCCAGGTAGATGCTGCAGCACAGCTGCTTGATAGCTGTTTCCCACAGTGAGGACAGAGACTGTGTCCAAGGCTTTCAAAGGCACTGGTAACAGCTAGGTGTGGTGGCGCATGCCTGTCATCCCAGCACTCAGGAGGCTGAGGCAGGAAGATTTCCAAGAGTTTGAGGCTACATTGTGAGTTCAAGGCTAGCCTGAACTGCACAGTGAGATCCTGTCTCAAAAAAACCAAACTGCCAGGTGGTGGCACATGCTTGTAGTCCCAGCACTCAAGAGGCTGAGGCAGGAGGATCACCTGGAGTTCAAGGCAAGCTTGGAATACACAGGGAGACGCTGTCTCAAAAACAAAATAAAACAAAGACAGGGTGGGTGAGTCAGGAACACAGGGGCAGACACTTATCCCTTTACCTCCTATTATTACTTAAAAGTTAGGGCACGGAACGTTTTGGACTGAGCTCCCTCCCCACAGACCAGATCAAACCAAAGTAGTCACTCATGGTTAGTACAACTTAATCACACTGAAAATCTTAGGACTCAGAGATTCTGAACCAGGCCAGGCTTTCCTGAAAAAGAAATTCCATTCCTGAAAGGAGAGTCCATTCTTCTTGAGCTAGCATAATAATGAAATCCTCTGTTTTAAACCTTTAAACTAAAAGTAACGACGCTAACCAATCAGTTTTTCCCTCTTGTTTCCTTGCCATCACATTACAATCCCAGTGCCTTCTGGGAACACTAGCTCTGTTCTGTAGAATGCAGGCTCCCCACTCATCAACTCTGAGTATCTGCCAACTGGACCTACGATTACGTTTGTTGTGACTTTGACTCCAACATTCCCTAATAGCCGATCACACAAGACTGCGTCTTCAACCTGCCCTTTTCCCTCTGGAGTGCAAAGATTAACTATTTATTCTTAGAAAAACCTCTTGTCAGCAGCAGGCTATTTTTTTCCCTAAAAAGAACCATCAACCAAACCACCAAACCAGGAGAGCAGCAGAATTCAGAGGGAACAAGTTCCTTTTCCTGCTCAGGATAACATACCTATAAAACAGATGAGGGAACGGAGACATTTGCTCTTGGATAAAACCCCAGGAACACCAAACTCCAGAGGTGCCACCTACCCAAAGGACAAAACACCACAATTCTCATATAAAGAACTTGAAAAAATCAGACTTCTCCAAATTTAAAAACCCAATCAAAAAGTAGGCATCTGAAATGAATGGACACTTCTCAGATGAAGAATTAGAAACGACAAATAAATACATGAAAAAATGTTCAACCTCATGGGTCATTTGTGAAATGCAAATTAAAACAACACTGAGATTCCATCTCACTCCAGAAAGAATGGCAGTTATCAAGAAATCAATGAGGGCCGGGGATTTAGCTCAATGGTTATGCTGCCTGCTTCACAAGTGCAAGGACCCGAGTTCAATCCCCAGTACCAAAAAAAAAAAAAAAAAGAAATCAATGAACAATTATAACATATGTTGAAGGGGATGTGGGGAAAAAGGAACCCTTCTCCACTGCTGGTGGGAGTGTAGACTGGTGCAACCACTGTGGAAATCAGTGTGGAGATTCCTCAAAAAACTAAAACTAGAGGTTCTATTTGACCCAGTTTTCCTCTTCTTGGTATCTTCCCAAAAGAATTAAAACATCATATCACAGCGATATATGCACACTCATGTTTATAGTGGCACAGTGTGTAAAAGCTAAATCTTGGAAATAGCCCAAATGCCTGTCAATCGATGAATGGATAAAGAAAATGTATTTTTTTATATCCAGTGGAGCAATGGAGTACTACTCTGCCACTAAGGAGGATGAGCTTCAGACATTTATAGCTAAATGGATGGACCTTGAGACCATGCTCTTAAGTAAAATAAATTGGAGACACATGTTTAAATAATGCATTGTTTCTCTGATGTGAGGAACTGAAAGTGGAAATAAGGACTAAAATGTATAATGGATATCGGGAAATGGGAAGAAAATGTTCAAATGGGAAGGGGAACATGGGAGGAGGGAGGGAGAAAGGAAGGAAGGGTCGAGAAAAAAAGGTGAAAATAGAAGGAAAAAAATGGAAACAAAGCTTTTGTACACAGGGACGGGAAGGGTCATTAAGGGAGGGAGGGAATAGGATAAAAGAAAAAACAAAACAAAATAAAAACATCACAATTCTCCCATAGTTACAAACAAAAGCAAACCATGAATAAAAGAGGAACTCAGCACCCAGGAAAGACAGAACAGTGTTACAAAGAAGGCTCTCAATTCACTATTCCTCCCCAAAGCCACTGTGGAACACAAAAGCCATTCTTCAGGATTAGACTCAACAGTGCAGCTATGGCCTTGCATAGCCCCTCTCCTCAGGTCAGAATAACAAGGCTGACTTTACCTTAAGAGCACCACAAAGTTCAACGGTGTCCGCATCATCAACCACAGTAATTCGAAAATTGGGAGTCTGCAGAAGTTCTTTGAAGAGAAGCCCATTCTCCATGATTTTGCTGCCTATTGAAAGGTTAGGAAACAAAGAAATTAGTAACAGTCTCTAATCTTAATGATCATACCCAACAGTGGTTAAAATAGTAACCTTTCTCTTACTACAAAAGTAACGTGTTTATTGCAAAAAATTTAGAACAGATCTAGGAGCAGAAATAGAAAATAAAGCTATCCCATAAATTTACCAGAGGATTATTTATAATTTGACACATATATTTAGTTTATTGAATAAATATAATTTTTGAATATAGTTTATTGATGAATATAGTGGTGACACAGGCTGTAATCTGAGCATTCTGGGAGGCTGAGGTAGGAAGATCACATATTAAAGCCCAGTTTGGGCAATTTAGTGACTTAGCAAGACTCTCTCCTTAAAAAAAAAACCAAAAAAACCCCCCCAAAAAACACATACACACACACACACACACACACACACACACACAAACATACATACATATATACATATATATGTATATAAAGGAATATAATGTGTGTGGATCTTATAATCTACTTTCTGTTTTCCTAATTTTGGAAGATGGAAATGCAGTCAAAAGTACCTGTTTTTGCTATTGCTATAGTCCCCTCTGTGGGGGAGAGTGCCTGGAATATGCTGAATGGTTAGTGGTTTTCATATATTTATTATTTTTAAAAATTTTCTTTGTTTTGGAGACCTCTGACTGAAAAGCAAACAGAAATAAAAGTAAAACCTTATACAGAAAGTCTGATATAAAATCTGCTCTGGCTGGTGGGGTGCAGGTGGGCCTAACCAAACCCACTCTCCCCACCGGGCTCTGAAGTCAGGACTGTAAGATTTCCCATCCTAGTCCTGCTCCTGAGCCAACGGCTCCACACAGGGATGGCAGGAAGCACATGGAGGACTCCGGTGCTGGGCCTTGCCTGCCCCCAGGTAGAAAAGCAGCTGTCCCCAAGCTCGGCTGTACTTTACAATCCCTGGGGGATCTTTACAAACACCAGCACCCAGCCCACATCTCAGCCCCATTAAATCACAGTCTCTGGAATAGAGCAGGCATCGGTAGTTTTGGGGGCTCCCCAGTGTCAAGCTTGATCTGGCCATAACCTGGTTAATAAATATGTTAATTCCAAGCTACAGTTTTAGCAGACACAAAACACTGCAGCCCTCAGAAAAACACACTGCTCCTTCCAGTGGCTGAAGACCAGACCCAGGCTGTGCCAGCTCTGCCTAGATACAGGCTGTGCCTCCTCAGGCAGTCAGAACACAGAACAGGTGATATAGAAAAGAGATAAGACTACAAAGTACAGCACAACAGCTTCCCGGTGCCAAGTTACCTGAAAACATCCATACATCTACTTCTATCACTGTGTGGACCCCAGCTGCAAATATTTGCTCTGACCTCTGTATGTGACAGATGTGCCAGACCCTTTCCCAATCCCCCATAAAACTCTCTGCCTGTCCTTTGTTTGTCACTGGCGGCTTTGTCACCCTCAGTCGACCTGCACCCAGGTTCGTCTGTGTCTCGTTGCCTTCCACTAGCCTGCTAAGGTGGTCTCATTCCTCTGCCATTTGTCACCCAGGTGATTCCAAGGGAAAGACAACTTTGCAAACCTTTGATTGAACCTCCTCTAGCTTCGGCTCCCCAAGAGTAAAATAACGGTCCTGGGGAAATACAGTAAAAAATACAGAATGGTTGTGAAGTTATATAAGAATCATATGGAAAAGGTCTTTGGATCATAACAACATTCACAGATCCCAAAGACAGCATGGAGTCAGAGGACATCTGCATGCTTGGGATTATGATTTTCTACACTGACAGACAGGGAAACTATAGCCCAGAGGAGTTTACTAACTTCCCATGGCCACACAGCTAGAAAGCTGAGCCCAAGTTTTAACCCATATGCTGCTCTGGCTCTGGGGCCAAGCTCTGACTCTGTGCTAGGCCACCTCTTGGCTGTGGGAAAAGAAAAGATAGCAACAAAGATCCAGGTATATGCAGATATGCACTTCCAATGGCGGGGCAAGATTGTCAACAATTAAAATTACAGCCAGGAATAATACAGTCAATGTCAAAATCAGGCTGGGCATGTAGTTCAGCAGTAGGGCACTTGGCTAGCAGGCACCAGGCCCTGGGTGTGCTCCCAGCACCCACAGAGAGTCAGCCCAGGAGAGGTGAAGTGTACATGAAATAAGCCTGGCCAAGAGCGAACCATTTCCAATGATGGATATAAAAGGTTTGTTTCACTATCTTACCCCATTTAGTTCTTTAAAATGTTCCATAATAAAACATTTAAAATATCCATGCCCAATAAGCAGAAACTCGTTTTCTGTTCTACAGGACATTACCATTATCTTATTCAGCTGAGTTCTCCTTTTCCAAATATTGGAACGGTGTCTGCTTGAGCAACCTGTGCGCTTCCTCTTTTCAACAGCCCACCAGGCGCCTAGGTGACTCTGTGCAATGCTGCTTCCTCATCTGGCGGGTGAGTCTGCCCCCGCCCCACAGAGCGTTCTCTTGTCCTGTGCCTCTGCTGTCCCTCACCACAGGACAAGCCCTGCTCCAGCCTGCTGGGCGGGAGGGGGGGTGCCCAAGTCACTGCCTGCACTGTCTGCAGCTGGAAGTTCAGTCGCTGCTGTGAGCTCCCTGAGGCCCAGATGGAGGAAGTGGCTCAAGTCTGCCATGGATACAAAGGGCAGGGTCTGTGGGCTCCTCTGTGGCTGCAAGTAACTGTCCTTCAGAAAGGTGGGCTTGATTTATGGCAAGTTCACATTTTCTCAAATGTACATTTTAAGCATTATTATTTTGGGGGTCGGGGATTTAGCTCAGTGGTTCTGGTACCTGCCTCGCAAGCGCAAGGTCCCGAGTTCCATCCCTGGTACCAAAAAAAAAAAAAAAGAATTACTATTTTGGTAGTTTTGGGGGTTGTGGTGTGTTTTGTTTTGTTTTGAGACAGGGTCTTGCTGTGTAGCCCAGGCTAGTCTTAAACTCAGGGTGATTCTCCTGCCTCCGTCTCCTAAGTGCTGGGTGTTATTTTAAATCATGGGTATGAAAGCACTAACTGTATTATGACTAGCAGTCATAGGCAATGATGTGGCAGGCAGGAACCAAGCCCAAGAGTCACGTGGAAGGGATACCCTAAACTCAACATGAACCGAAGGACAGGAAAATCTCATCTGTCAAACCAACTTTCAGTGATCAACTTAGGTAATTCAACTTCCAAAGCCTCATTTCAGTCTCTGACTCCATGTTTGTTTGCAGAGATGCTCCACAAGGAGCTTATGTATCCTGGACATTTAGTGCCATGCTTGACACATAATAGGCTTTGAAAAATATCTGTGGAATGATTAAGTCAGATTCAATGGTAAAGCCCACACGAAGGGAGATCTCACCACAAGGAATGTTGTTCACCATGACAGCAATTCAAAGTACACTAAAAATCCTTCCATTTCCCTGCTTTTTTGGGGGGGTGGGGGGTTGGTTGTGTTGCTGTGACCTAGGAATTGAAGCCAGGGGCACTGAACTACATCCTCAGTCCTTTATATTTTTTGAGACAGGGTCTCACTAATTGCCCTGGCAGGACTAGAACTTGCCATTCTCCTGGCTCAGTCTCCTTCAGTGCTAGGATTACAGCTATGATTTCTTCTTGTAGGGAAATCTGTAACCTAATGGGTTAGGAAAACACAGGTGGATCAAGATTTCTGAATCTATCATAATTAAAAATTAGCTGGTCCTTCATGTCATCAAGAAAGGAGATCTGGAAAACCACAGTGTAATTATCAAATGCAGGAAAGTCTGTGTTGCCGTGATTCTATTATCTAACACACAAGTCCACAGTCACATCTCACCAGCCACCCCAAGGTTGTATTTCGCAGCCACCTTCCCTCCCCAGCTAGGACCCAGCCCAGGGTCCTGGGCTGCAGTTAGTGGCTAGGTCTCACCAGCCATCTTTAATCTGGGAAACTTGCTAGCCTTTCATTGTCTTCCACAATGCTGAGAACTGCAGTACAACCCAAAGAGAGGTCAGGGATGTATTGGGGACATAGCCAGAGGGCAAAAGGTACAACTCCAGGCAGTAGTGTGTCTTTGCAAATGAAAAAGCCTAATCCAGCCAGTTGGCAACTTTCCTACAACAGACAGAGCAAGTGGCAGGTAAGCATGCTAGCCAAAATCTGCAGGTAGGTATAAAGTTTAAATCAGAGACCAGAGATTAATTTCAGCCTTACAAACAATCAAATAATCAGTCATTTCCAACCAACTAGGAAAGGACTAGCATCAAATAGGATTGAGTTGAAATAACTTGTTAATCTTTTTGAAAAAAAGATTTCACAAGCTCTATCAAAATGGGAGATGGATAGGGCCAGGAGTTTAGCTCAGTGGCACTGTGCCTGCTGGGCAAGCACAAGGTCCTGAGTTCGATCCCCAGTATGAAAAAAACCCCACAAAAATTGCAGATGCATAAAAACATTAACTGGAGGCCAAGGAGCAGAGCTGCTCCCAGCGAAGTGGAGGTGAAACTTCTGGGCCACCGTACCACCGCCCCCAGTGCTGAGGAGGTGAGC